CGAAAGTACATATTTTAGTATTGGATATTTTCTTGTTTACTGTTTACTCGTTCATTCGAGGAGCATATGAATGAATTAATATTATTATTTGTTTTTAACGTATTAATCATGAATCGTGTTTCGTACTTAACGTATTGACTAACAACTACGAAATAACTCGTAGTTGAAACATTGCAAAGATGCTGGATTATTCAATTATCGTTACAAAATTTTTGCGTAAAATTAGTATCACAGTATAACTTAAACCAAAACATACAGTCTTGATTAACTAAACGTATATATTTTCGACGATTTATAACTGAAAAAACGAAATAAAGTGTGTCTGGCTACATGCGGCATTTTTCACTGTAGCAGTCAACGTGATAATGAAAGTGTTTTGTTTTTCAATCTTCCTACCGATCATTCAAAAAACTGTCAATTCATAATGACAGATTATATATATATTTACACTTTAGTTTACTTAATACTTCTGATACGAGATTTCCTCTATTCTCGCGTAGATTATAACCACTTAAAATATAAGAAGTGTACATGATGCTATATGTATTTTCACATACCACGTGGAGTCTGTACAACCGCACAATACGTACTTAGTCCAGAATCGTTTTCAATGATATGAAATTGTAACGTTCAATAGTTTTATTATTTTCACTATTCAACGCCAGAGTTGTGGAAACAAAACGAAAATCTAAGCCATAAAGACTAACTACAGGAAGTCAGTTAATACAGAAATTGTCGTAGAGGACCAGTAGACCAAGGAAGATAATAGTACACTACATTTATAATTGAAAAAAGAACAGAGTTGTAAAATCGCCGAGGAAGCAGAAGAAGAAGCAGAAAAAGAAAAGGAAAACCGTATCTAACCATCTCGTTTCGTCCCTGTCCTTTGCAAGGTAAAGTCGCGGTTGCAGTCACGTAAGCGCGACCCTTCGCGAAGAGGATACGGATGCCTCCGTCTACCGGTATTTAATTAAGCCCGGTCGCCCGAGAGAGAAAAAAAAGTCCTTAGTACAGGAAGCGACGGGTTTCAAGTAAGCGAGCAGCGAACCGTAGTTCGAGCCCCGTTACGGGACAAACACATTGGCGTAGCCGTAATCGGACGACTTTGGCCTTTTCGCGAATCCTTCTAACGCAAAATGATCCTGGCGCCGTTGTAGAATGCCAGTGGAACTTCTTCTCGGTATTCCGTGGGATCGCAAGCTATGTCGATCTAAAAATTATCGACACAAGGCAAGAGAGTAGTGGTCCAAACAGAACACAAGCTGCGTCTCCCTTTTACGTACGCAATTTCCGCTTCAACGAGCTTGTTCTACCTAAACGGAGAAACGACATACGATCTTCTAGTTTTCGATTGACCAGAAAGTGGTCGGTGCATGTCAAGTCATTGGTGCACGGAAAAGACTTTACCCTATTGGATCCATCTAGTACAGAACGATATAAATCAGATTCACCTAGGACGAAGAGATTCCAATTGGACCCACCCAATACGGAATGACTCAACTTGGAACCACCCAGGACGAAAGCATGTGATTCAGACTCACTCAGTATAGAAAGGCAAAACCTGCATCCAGCCAGAATGGATAAATGCGAATTGGACTTATCCAGAATCGATAGATTCGAATTGGACCGATCCAGAACCAGTAGACCCGAACTGAACCCATCCAAGACGAAGAGACGCGGATTGGACTCACCCAATGTGGAAAGATACGGTTTCGACCCATCCAGAATCAAAAGACTCTCATTGAACCAACGGACTTGAATTGAGAACCTGAGACCAAAGAAACCCCAGACCGAGGAACACAGGCCGAAGAATCTCCGGATCCAGCAACCCAAGGCGACCCCCAAACCCAACGAACGTGGCTGAAGGACCACCAAACTCAGGGACCTAAACCGAAGACCCCGTTTAACCCTCAAGCTTAAGGTCCTGGATCCGGACCCTCTTATCTTGGGTCTCATGATCTCAATTGAAGCCCTTCAGTCCTATTGGATTATATTTGAGTCTCACGGATGTAGATGACATCAGCTTGAATTTCTTAAGTCTTGGTGAATTTTATTTGAGTATTTCTGTTCTAAGTGAATACAATGCGTGTCTCTCAAGCCTGAATGGGTCCGACTTGAGTCCACCAGTCTTAAGTGGATTGGATTCAAGTTTGTTGATCTTGTGTTGTATTAATTCAACCATGTAAGTCTTAAATCAGATGGAATCAAGTGTCTCCGTTGATCCGATGTGAATTTCTCTACCCTCTATTAATCCGACTAACGTCCTGATCCTGATTAGATGTAATTTGTACGCTACGAAATAACTTATAGGGTCTACTATTACATTTATCTGTCTTTTGACTCCGTATATTCTTTCTACATTAATATTTAACCACTTTTTATACTGTACGCACCATACAAAAATATGAAAGTATAAATCATGCAGCTAATTTACCTATGTTGAGTAGTAAGAATTTTAAGGTGCTATGTCACTGTTCCTTTCTTATGTAATGTACAGTAACTACTGTCGTGTCATCCGTCGATACAATTTTCTTCATCTAATAATAACGACGCTAAAAAATGTGTTCTGTAATTATTTGCGTTGCAATTTCTGTCAGTGAAAAAGTTAGTGTTCGTATGCAACACTGGTATAATCTCTAAACATCACGCTACGTACCAACGAAATTCTCCTATGCTTCTTCCGTTTTATCGATTCTTTTTTCAAGCCTTGGGGGACATATTCTCACGAAATCCGGTTCTACTGGTTTGGGGTTAGACTCAAAGGTGAAGTCCAGCCACGGTGACTCAAAAAATCGGTACTGGTATTTGCCTGATTATTATGCCACATTACACCATGCTAGACCAATCTGTTTGAGGCTAATGAATAGAATTCGCGGGTCACGGGCGACGAGATATCGCGTAACAATATTAAATATCTTCTTTTTAACTTACATTGTATATTTTTCCATAAATTTCATAATACTGCTTCAAATAAGAAAGTTGAATTGATTCCATCAAGTAATATGATTTGTAAATACATCTCCAAAATGAGTTAATTAGTATTTAAAGTTTTTTTAAGTCAATACACCACAAGAATTGCAATTGAAAAAGAAATCGTGTACACATTGGGAAACATGTTTCTTAATCAATCTGTAAATCCGTGGGAAAAAAAGACAGAGATCAATGTGTCTCTTTTTATACACTTTCTTACTGCAATATCCGACAGAAATCAGCGGTCGATCGCTCGTTAGAATCTCGTTTAAGGAAGTTCGCCGCTCTTTCACTATTTTCGCTTGCAACGTACGCATAAATGAAGGAACATTAGCGGCTCTCGCATTGCAGGCTGTCACGTTTGCCGAAGGGATGAAATTTATTACTTTAAATTGGTTACAAAATACGCCATAATTCTCGTTTAATTTACGACCGTGCCGGCGGTGTTGACGACACAGATCTGTGAATACGTCTCCCTCATATAATATTATACATACGAGGGCAATACGCGGGGACCGGGTGCATTTAAATATTCATACGCAATGCATCACGGTGCCGTGCATCAGTTCCGCCGTTTTGACCGTTGCGAACATGAACTATACGAGGTGTATACCGAGTGCATTTTTAGTATGATTTTCGACCATCTCTTTTATCGATAACTTCACTATACAATGCATGAAAAAAAAATATCAGTGTAACATAACACTCCAACAATGATTTGTCTTCAATAAAATATGGTGAAAGTAATACAAAAATATCAGTGAAAATTTCTATTACTTATGCATCAACCCAATATAATAGCATATTTTATGTACTCAAAGTAGAAGTAACATATTTAATTTAATTTTGAAAATAAAATTGCTGCACAAATTTGTCCTTGTTTCAAAGATATTTACTTATTAAAATATACATGCATTTTAAATGTATCATACCGTTTGAAGAAGGACATACAAAATGAGTCAAAATTAAGGCTCATCTGTTTGCCTACTACTAAAAGTAGTTGCTTTTGTGTACACATGTTTACAACTACATAACCATTTTGCAGTAAGTTCATTGCGTCTTTAACGATAAAAAATGTATCATAAAAATGAGTGCTTTATACAAAGTTCTCCCACGTACTTTAGAATTTTAGTGGTACTGATTTTCTGAATTTTGAGTATCGTGCAACAAATTTTTCACCCTATATGAGGAAATTACGTGCAATAAATATTTCCTCCTCCTCAGCAGGTTGTTAATTCTTCCCCCATGCACCCCATCCGTAGCAGATTTAATTAAAAATCGGGCTTGTCGTAGTATTAGGGAGAAGAATAAATTTTCCGCGTACGAGCAATTAATTTGTGTTCCGTACGACGGCATTCTTGTCGTACAAGACGAGTGTTCGCGTACGTTAAGTTTCGCATCCAGAAACAAAAAAAAAGATTGGTTTCATAAATGAACCAATTTGTTCGCACGGTATTCGAGAATTAGCAATGGTAGTGCATAAAACATGTTTAATACATTTTCATTAGAACAACAGAGCTTTACCATATGTCTGCGAAAATTTCCATTATTCATGGACACGAAAAACGTCCTTGAGATGTACGACTCCACCTTCAATGAAACATAATATCCTCTGTCCTTCTTATCTCGGTGTTGGAAATTCAACAAATAATGACAGCAAAAGTATAAGTACAATTTATTTCTGATAGCTATACTTTCACGGTCATGGTGAAAGCTTGAAATAATAAGGTAATACTTTTGTTAAAAACGATGCATCAGTAGAATCTGTTAAAAGAGAATAAACATTTTTAATAAAATGAAAATTATTTAAATGTGAGTATTATCCGTTTCAAATATTTACGATTTGCTGCTATAAAAATGCAATAAAATATTTGTAACAAATATAGAAATAAGAAACATTAGTACATAGAAATTACATGTAAATACTTAATATATTTGGCTTGCGCGGTTCAATATGTATATAAAACCTTTGGTCACATAATTATATGCAATGTCAAAACATCAAATTAATATTCAACAACAGACAAAAAGAACTATTAATCCTCCATATTCTTGAAACATATTCATAACAGTGAATTATAATATATGGCACTGACAACGGAAGCAGTCTGCACTACATCCATAAGATTTCATAAACTTTAGTTCTGGAGATGATTGTGCAGGTCCTAAATTCAGAGAATCCTCACTTTCTTCGCTTAATTCTTCAATGCTAAATGTATCAGTCAAATCTTGTTTGTGCTTAGACGAGTCTTTCGACTTCAATGTTGAGAAGAGGGTCATTTCACCTTCGCTATATATGTGAACATTGAATGTCAAACATGTAACAGTTAAATTATAAAGAGACAGTTGAAGTTTACCTACCTTTCACTGTCACTATGCCAATACTCGACAAGAGGAAGATGTTCTTTATTTTTATTTGGTATGGGAAGCCTTTGAATTGATATTAAACCAGTAGTACTGCTACCACCACTACCTCCTTTGTCATATTTTTGTAACTTTATATAATCTGAACTACGCTGAATACGTTTTGCTTGTTCAATTCGTGCTTCTACCCAGGACAAAAAACATATAAAAAAAGTGTTATAACATGAGAATATTAATGTACAAAAAAGAAATTAGAATTAACAATAATACCAAGCTTTTTTTGTAGTTGCTTAGTAGTAGAATTGTGTTGAGATGTTTGTGTCTGATTACTGCTGCAACTACTATCACTACCCTACAAAAATAGTAAATGTTACACTATGGTATAATATATACATTTACTTGATTTCATTTTAATTATACTGAAACACTCTTACATATTTAAAAGCATATGGTAGAATATAGGAAATTATATATATACCAAGAAAAGTCTCTCATCTTCTACACGACCAGTGTTTTTTGGATCACTATCAATCCCGCTATCTTCCATCACAAAATAAAATGTTACATTAAATCAACGACTTATTTTTTTCAACTCATCTGAAATGAAACAAAATTTGTTTATATTACAAAACAAATTTTTTTTGTACATAACCACACACGTATGTAAGAATTTCTAATGAAATAACTAAGGAAATACCTCTTATTATTTAAAAATTTAATAGAAATACACAAATTCCATTTATAATATACACACACATTTTCCATACACAAGTACTTTGAACAGGTACTTACAAAATAACAGTATATTCTGAAATGTAACATAATGTACAAATAATATATGTTATATTACACAAAACATACTTAGAAACGTTCAGTTGTTTAATTTTTACTCACAAGTACTTGTATATTATTCTGACTTATCTACAAGAACCAAGCATGCTTACATTATCATGGTATGTTCTGTTATTGATTTTCTTTCATCTATATAACCACACGGATATTTTAACATTATTAACGATTATTTGAATGAAATACACATGAATTCGTACTTAGATATATAATATATCATATTATACTTCACTGTATATATGGAAAATAAATTTTATAATTTCAGATACAAAAATATTTTTTTTTGTATCAGAGATGGCCATAGAATTTGTATTTCCCTTAATAATGTTAATTGTCCACATAATAAACTGTTACATAATGACATAACGTTTCATGTGAAAAAGATGTTATTTAAATACTGCTATAGCAATATAACATGTTTCCTAGGAAACCACAATTTCCTCTGTACTTACTGAAGATAAATCTGATACAGTGAACTTCAGTTTGTTTTTCTAATATATGTCTATTGTCATACAGTAATGTTTCCTATTTATTTAATATATAAAGCAATTTAATTTATACAAAGGAGAAGAAAAAAAGTTTATACTTTTTTATATGAATAAAAATTTTGGCATTCTGTATCAAATTGTAAGAATTTTAATGAATACTTTTCTGTAATATAATTATGCTCATTTAATTATGTGTTATCTTTTTATACATAGTTATGCAAGTAGTTTGAGAAACAAACACAATGCCTCACACAAAGAGACCTTCCAAGGAACGGGAAATAACAAGAGTTAGTAGTTCCTAAATTTCGTTAGTAGTTACTAAATTTTAATAATACTCTTTATTGAAGCTTATTGTATATCTATAGCACATGAGTGCGGTAAGAAGTCGTGTAGACTTTACTGGGGCTGGCGATATGGATTGGATGCGTGGGAGAGTTTTTCTCAAACCAGAGGACCAGTTACAATTGACAGAAGAGGCATGTATTACTTTTCGTTACTAACTAATAGAATTATATTATAAATTTTACTTATACACTTCCTAGAAATATTTGTTTGTTTAACACCATGTATTATAAAACTTCAGGAATTACAAGAAGAGTTTGCAAGAGTCCTAACTATACATAATACGAGAGTTCCAGATTCTTTAGTGGAATGGTCATGGAAGTTTAGAGAATTTATAACATTGCCTCCTCCGCCAAATTTAATAACTGTTTTAAATGTGCCCGGGGCTTTGTTGCACAAGGATTCTGAAGAAGCAAAAGTGCAATTATCAGGAGGACTTGTTGGTAAAACTTCATACAGGAAAAATCTCTCAGCTTGTTTATAATTAACGTGATACTTCCAATTGTTTACAGTGGATCACCAGCAGGATGAACCACACATTTTACATGGTGATGAAAAAGAAGAAGAAGAAGAAGAAGAAGAAGGAGAAGAAGAAGAAGAAGTAGAAGGAGAAAAAGAAGTAGAACGAGAAGAAGCAGAAGAGAGAGAAGATGAAAAGCAAGATGGTATGATGAACAATTATAATAATAATAAAAAGTTTCATAAACCGCCATATACATGTATATATTGTTTAAAGTTGTAGATGACTTAAAACCAAAAGAAGCTGAAGAAGAGCAAAAAGAACATGAAGTTGAAGTTGAACCCGATGAAGAAGAGGTAGAAGCAGTAAAACCTAAGAAGATTCCGAATCAATTCAATTTTTGTGAAAGGGCTGCTCTGACGTATACTAATCCTTTACGAGTGAGATAGTAATAATGGAAATTTAATAAAATGTAATTTCTCCATATCATTAATGATCTGTCAATTTTATAGGAAATGAGTACACAAACAATACCACCGCCAACAGGAACATTTAATACTCATGTTTTTCAATGGACAATCTTTGATGAATATCAAGCATGTATTTTTAATTTAAATTGATTAAGTTCCAAAAAAAAACATGTGTGATTTATATACTAAAATCTTAGGAAGATTTTGCTCAACAACAACGTGAAAAAGAAAAAGAAAAAAGAATCCCAATCTTACAAATGAAGAAGGAAGACATGAAAAAACAAGCCCAAACACAATCCATGGCAGTATCGGCAAGAATGCTACAAGCTGCGAAAACTTTAGAACGAATGGTGAACCAAAATATTTTCAATGATATAGCACAAGGTCACTATTTTTAATAAATAATTAATGTTTATTAGATTGAATATACAATTAAGTACTGCTTTTAGACTACAGATATTGGGATGATCCAAGCGACGAATTTAAGGACGGAGAAGGATCGTTATTGCCCTTATGGAAATTTAGTTATGAACAAACTAAAAAACATGATGTGACAGATTTATGTTTTAACGGCAGATATTATGACTTGTTTGCAGTATCTTATGGAACAAGTTAATAAACGATGTTAAACTCTTAATATCCAACATTTATACATATACTTATGTATACGATATTTCAGTGTCATTTAATAGTCCAATAACGAGCGGAAAAGTTTGCTTGTTTAGTTTAAAAAATCCATCGTATCCAGAATGGATCTGTTCAATAGAATCTCCGGTAATGTCCTTAGCCTTCAGCGAACAACATCCGCATCTTCTAGTTATTGGTAAGAAGTTAAATAAATTATATATTTGTACAATGATGAAATTGCTCTCCTTTCTTATAATTAAGGTTCTATGGATGGTGCTGTAGCTATATACAACATCATGTTGCCACCAACGGCTCCACAATATAAAAGTAATGATGTAGGACAAAAGCATGGAGGTATAGTATGGCAGGTTCGTTAATCCTTACAAACATATTAACCATATAAATTAATTATTTTTAGTTTAGGTTTTATTAGATTTATAACTACCTCGACCTAGTTTCGTTTAATAAAAATCAGTCACAATTTAAGGTATCTTGGGCACCAGATACAGAAGAAGGTAATTTGGCATTCTACAGTGTCAGTATTGATGGAAAAATAAATTACTGGATATTAAATCAAAATGAACTTGGCTTGACAACTGTAATGACACTGTTCTTAGACCGACCTCCGATACCTGGACCAGATGGTACCATGATTACACTTCAAGGTAATAAATCTTAATACAGAATATAATTTTTGTCCTTTGTAGTACTAATAGAAATTGTGTTAAACATGTTTCTATATTTGGCCAGGATGTGGAACATGCCTTGCATTTCATCCTGCAGATCAAAATGTGTTCTTAGTAGGAACAGAAGAAGGAACAATATATAAATGTAATACAGCATACAGTAGTGTTTATATGAAAACTTACAATGAAGCACACAATATGCCAGTATATAGAATAGTATTCAATAGATTTAACTCTACCATATTTGCTAGTTGTTCCGGTGATTGGAGAATAAAAATATGGGAAGATAATAGAATGTATGTCCCTAGTCACATACACAATATCATCTATGAAAAACTATGTTCGCAGTGGTCATTGGAGTGTAATTCTTTACAGGGAGCCTTTGTTTATGTTTGATCTTGGTGTTCCAATTGGAGATATTGAATGGGCACCATACAGCTCGACAGTATTGGCTTGCGTATCAAACGACGGGAAAGTCACGGTATTTGATTTAAATGTAAACAAATACAGACCAATATGTAGTCAAGCAGTTGTTAGTAAGAAAAAGAATAAACTAACTCGATTGGCGTTTAACAATCAACTGCCGTTTATTATAGTTGGTGATGATAAGTGAGTATTTAATAAAGAATTCAAATCCTACGACCTTATTAACTTTATTTTTACATTTCCTATTAATAGAGGTACAGTTACTACATTAAAATTATCACCGAATCTCAGAGTAAAAGTGAAACCAACGAAAAGACAACTCCATTTGACGCACAGAGATTTAGAGATTATGAAATTAGAAAGGCTACTAAGTTTTGTACGCGAACCTCCTGTATTAACACCGCCAGAAGATGTAAGAATAGTAACGTAATTCATCAAGTAAAACATCTTGTCCACTGAAAAAAATTGTGACCATTTTTTTCTTGTTCAATATAACCCCTTTCTACAGAAAAATTCTTCGGTTATACAAGATTGATTACATTCTACAAAAAACACTTAGTGTTTTTAAACAGATATTCATAAGACCATTCTGGCTCATTCATATATCTACATTAAACAACCACTTGATAGTGAAAGAGTATCATAGTATTTTGATTTATAAACAACAACATTTTATTAATAGTTGCTATAACAGAAAATACATGTTAATGTCTATATCTTCATAAACAAATTGGCACTAAATTTAGAATACATTAAAAATATTACTATAATTTACAGATATAATATTAATATATAGGCTCGCTACAACATGTGTTTCCTAGACTAGAAGCAATTATTAACGATTATTGAACTACTTTAATGTACTGCTTTATAAATAGCGTCATTTATACTAAATTTGTAGCAATTCCATACACATAACAGCACTGATTGCTTTACAATAAAAACTACTTGTAAATGTCTTTACAGAATATTTTAGTAATTTCGAAAATTGTTTACAATGAACTGTATACGTTTAACAATATTAGGGATTATTTTAAGTTACATGTATTACATGTAATACATATTTTATATGTTATGAGAAAAAAATGACAAGTGTATGCATTTAAACCTTTGACTATATACTTAAGAATAAAATGTATAATACAATAATAACAATAGTGAAGAATAGAAACATAGTAAAAGTAAATCTGCACTGTTTTATAAGTAAAGACTTTAAAATGTGCAGAAAAGGCTTAAATATTTTCTGATATTTCAAATAAGTAATATAAAAAGCATTGGTTATCACAAAGTCTGTTACCTCCTTTCGAAATATTAAACTAAATGTTACACAGACAACTTACAATATTTTAATTACAATAAAATCTTAAATATAAGATTATTCGACATTCAATTTAGATATGTTTTTAAATCAGATGCTTTTTATAAAAAGAACACATGTACAGTAAAAGGATAATATATCATAGCAAAATTAATGAATAATATTTATAATTCATATGTTATAAAAAATAATACTGATCAAACCGCAGAAAATTTGTACAAGGTGTTTAATTAAATAAAAAAAATGTTTCAAATACAGGCAACTCCTGTATAACACAGCATTTCCATAACACATTTTTAGGAACAGTGTTATACAGGAGTTCTCTGTATAGATCAGTTCAAATCTTTGGCACGTCAATTCACTTTATAAAATCAAAATAAACTGCATTATTTTTGCCATTTTTGGTATTACAATCAGTAATGCCAAAAACTTAATTTGCAAGAAGTTTGTTAGGAACTTGTGAAAATATCTGACAGTTCATTTTTCATTATTCATGAAGTAGAAAATAATTTCTATAATAAGAATGAATAATTCTTTCGGTGAAATTAAAAGTTTAAGTAAATACCTCCACTATTCTTATAAATCTAAGAAAATATGTAACCTCTACATTTTAAAGTTCATTTTATAAACCCTTCCTTTCGTTCTTAAATTGAAGTATTAGACAAATTAGTAATAATTCTTATTTTATGACGCCGTTTATTAACGTTTATAAAATGTCGGAAAATAATATATCTCAATTGGAAATTCTACCATCGCAAATCCTAATATAAGTTCTTAATAGAAGATATTAATTCGGATATTTAAGACAGTAAGAAAAACTGTAAAATCTTATTATATCTATAAATTACTGATCGTATAAATGAATTTATATATCGTAATACAGAAATATTTCATATTTCTACCTGTATGTATCATATACTAGAAGATCAATCTTTAATAAATACAAAACCTAAAAAGTAATTTTTCCAGGAAGTTGTGGATTTTCTATCACACCTTTAAAATACTTCAATTCTAAAAAATCCCTAATATTATTTGGACATGGCACTTGTCTACCAGCAAATTCAATACTTGACATAGGATGAAGAAATTGTTCTGGGAAATTCCTTTGATTTAAAAACCATGCTGCTTTAACCATAGAACCATTTCTTGCATAAAATGGAAGTATGTTCACATTTAATTGATTTATCTTTGAATACTGTACTTTGAAAAAATCTCCGTCTGTTGCCTTTTCCCAAACAAAACCATCATTATCAACTATTGGTTTTATCATGGCTTTGATTAACCATGGTGATCGTTCAATATCATCCCGATTTATTCCTATTTGTACTTCATGATCCCATGGTAAAATATCACCAGTTTTCATAGCACCAAGTAAAGATCCTCCTTCTAACCAAAATCTAATGCCAACTTCTTCTAACTTATCAAACACATGATGAGCAACTTTTCTTAATCCTGAGAGACAACAAGGTGGTGTGTATCGTTTTTGATAAAGATACGATGGAACACCATTTATAATTGATCCAAAACATCTACTGCTCTCCCTTGAACAACCATACCACTCTATAAAATTAGATTCCCTTACGACCTTTTTAATTCCCAACTTTTCAAACATTAATCGTTCACGACTTAGGTGCAACTGTTGTACCTTCCATTGCGATTGTTGATTCTTATATAATGCCTTTCCTTCATTAAATTGATGCTTTGACAATATATGAATCTAGTAACAAGTAAGAATCTAATGAAATTAATCTTACTTACTTCCTACTACACATACATAAGTTATTATGTATATTTAAGATTTAAAAATTTACTTGGCTATACTTTTTCTTCAACGTATAATACAATTCCATGATAATAATAATAGTAAAAAAAACCAAAACCGATATTAAGATAACATAAAACAAATAAAGACATTGCTATTATCCAACTTCAACATATTATCTGTTTTCTTATACTTAAACACACAACAAAACAAAATGTAAACATACAAATCATGTCAAAATAATGATAAATAGAAATTACAAACCTTTGTACCTATTGCAGTTGTCTGAATGTATAATGCCTCCGTGAATGGTAACAGAAAAGGATCAGTTAGTTTCCTTAATAGTTTTGTCTCAATCATTGTAGCATGCTTTCCTTTCACACTATCGCATTCAGTGCCTTCCATTTGCGAAAACTTGAGGCTCCATTCCCTTAATTTCAAATCTATACTGATGCAAGTCAAAGTTACTTTTCCTATTGGTACAATTACTATACCTAGTTTTGCTACATGTGACACAATCTCCTATAACAAATTAATTTTACTTAAATATTATAATTATATAATTAATTAAAATTGTATACTTTAATTCTTTCATGACCAGAAATTCTAAAATCCACTTGTAGTTCAAACAAAGTCTCAACAATTAATATTTATAACCAATATGTTGTACATCTCTTATTACAGAAATCAATGTTAATAATTTTAATTGAGTACATTCTTTATGTTTGAAATATGTACTTACAATACAAAAGGCTAAAATACAATGTTATTCATAATTTATTGTTATGATAGAATGTTAAGTACATTTATTGTCTATTAACTACAATTATTAGAATCGTAGAAGAGTGTACTAGGTTCTTTGAGTTGTAAAAAGACATAATACTATGTCATAGGTTTCAAAACTGTTAAACTAATGATCATATACAAAAACTCTTACCTGTATGACTTCCTTAGTAGAAAGTCGACTAGCATCAGGTAAAAATAAGACATACTTTGTACGCACATAGAACAGTGGATTTCTCTCATCATAAGACGTATTGAAATCTGGTTGTAAACTTATTAATTTCACATTCCGCATACTGTCATTGGAAAAATCTAATTCCAACGGGGGGTATGGTAGCTGATTGCATACTATTAGGATTGGTATACTAGGAAATAGATCAAATACAGACTCCACTGTAGAGGCTACATCATTTTCGAATGTTTCAAACTGTCGTATAACCACAGTTACTAAACGAGCTAATCGACGATGAAGTTTTTCTGGAGGATCAGGTGTCACCACGTTCGGTGTTAATAACCGCAGTGTGTTTTGTGCTGTAAATAACCTCCATATTCTGTGCCATATAATGATATTACCTAATAGTGCAAGCACTAACAGTGTTCTGACAAACTTAAGGCGCATAATTATCGTGTATCTTGCAGTATCATCGTACGTCAAATTTTCTTTCACATAATATTCATATCACAACACACAATAACGTTTGAATATTTGACAGACCACGATACTTCCAGATTAGAGATGGCGTGCGAGAGCGGGAGAGCGAGCCGCGGTATCGGTGCTCTCCGTCGGTGTGACGCGTGCAGAGGAATTTCGGTGGTCTATGGGGGGAGGTGTGCGAGCGAGAGAGTACGGTAGAGCGTGCCGAGTAGCGGTGCTCTCCGTCGATCCAACGCGCTAGTGAGTTGCGTCACCCAGTTTATTGACTTAGCCGTGTACGCCGTGTACCAAGGTCGTACCATCCCGTGCAGGTCTGTGCTTGCTTCCTCATTTTCTCGTGAACCGTCGCGGAGGGTGGCCGCGTGTCTCATACTCGTCTTTTCTTGTTACTAACCCATTGTTTGTTGCAGGCATTCGACAACCATCAATTTATTTACTGTGCATATTGTTGTGTCCCCCCTCTTGTTACTAATCCCTTATATGTTACAGATGTTCGAGAACCATTGGCTTCGATATTTATCTTCTTATGTACTGTGATTCATTTAATGTGATTTATTTACTGTGCATATTATTTATTTATTTACTGTGCATGTTACTAATCTATATACTGTGCATATTGTTGTGTCCCCTCTCTTGTTACTAATTCCTTGTATGTTACAGATGTTCGAGAACCATTGGCTTCGATATTTATTTTCTTATTTACTGTGATTTATTTACTGTGCATATTATGTATTCTATGTGTATTGTATAATGAAAAATATTTTTCCAAACAGTTATTCCATCGAAAGAAGACATCGATCAACGTCTACATCTTCAAAGCGTGCGTCTACCACTGCGTTAAGTTACTGTAAGTTAAACTTAAATCATAATTCGATATTCATTGTTATATTCATATTCATCATCACATCGTTTATTATTAATTTTAGTCTATCTATTAATAGACTTAAATTGTGATCAGCCATTGTGCATACCAAGTTATTATTAATTCATTTTGCTCGTTGATTTCTCTACACAGACTTGGGGTATGGGCAGTGGGTCTGTACCTATTATGGTACGGGCAGTGGGCCTGTGCACTAAGACTGTTTGCCGATCCCTCTGGTTTCTATTGAGAAGCCAGATATCGGACGTGTTTAGTCTTTGCCTGGTAAGTAGGATTTGGAGTAAAGGCTCGTGCGCGCCTGGGTACAACGTACCCGCCTACGGAGTAGACGGGAGTCTGCTCCGTAAAAGGACTCTGTTTTACAGGGGATCTCGCTTGCACTACCATACTTGGTCATGACCTGTGCTCGGGTCTGGTACGTAGGTGACCAGCCCAAAGGGCCTGGAAAGTGAGAGATGGATTCGGGTTTGCGAGGTTGCGCCCGTCTTTCCTATTTTCTTAAACCAGGTTCTGGCAACACTTTGATCGCGATACTTGTTCATACTGTAGTTTAACGTGGTTCATCGTAGAATTAATTTTTGGCTTGGTATATTAGGTGCGTAAACGAAATGATCGATGGAACTTTTTCCATTCCGTCTATCTCTTTCGTTTGAGTATTAGCGACTACATTGCGTTAAATTTGTTATTTCGTATTACTAGCATTAATTCGTATTAATTAGAATATTAAGATAATATTAGTTCTAAGCTGAAGAACGAAGACAACCGACGAGGGAACTTAGTTTTTTATAGGTTTAGGCTCAAGAAAGAAGTCATCCGCCGAGGGATTCTGGTACCGGTAGTATTATATAGTTAAGATTTAAGTTATTTATAAGGTTTATTGTGAAAGGCGGGTAGATGTAGAACTTGTGATTCCATCTACTTGCCTTGGGCCTCCACTCGCAGCAACCTCCTCGTGGTGAGGCCTGGGCAATCGGTATTGTCATCGGTAAAATACTATAAACTGAAGACAATATCGAGCTAATGGCTGCGAACTTCTAATCTATCTCATAAAACCACGTTCTATATTACATCGAACTAGGATTATTTTAGAAATCGATATGAAATTCAAAGTGTAAAAATGTCTAGTACTTTGAATGTTTTAGAAAATTATTCGAGATAAAGATGTATGGAATTACTGAAAATTCCTTTTCCTTATTCTGTAAATTCTTTTATTGGAATATGAATGCTGCGGGAAGTATGAACATTTTCACAGGACAATGATATAAATGGAACTTTAAAACTTTTTAGTTTTAGATGTAGTGCATCGTATTGTATTTCAAACTTTTATATCATTATAATTTATATGTATATATGTATATTCCAATAAACATACGTCAGGAAATATAAGCTTCATTTCATCGAATTGTCTTAAATGTAACTGCATAAATATTGTTCAATCCTATACTAATTATATTTGCCTGGTTCAACAAGTTACTACAGAAAGTAACTACTGCCTACGTCTTTTAAACTTTGGCTGTAGTAGTATCTGCAGAAACTGTCATGATTGCTGGGGTTACTATATAATTTGCCACGGAAGCACGCACAAGTGTCAGTCAGATTTCGACAGTTGCACGAGCAACATTAGATCGAGCTCGAGACTCGTACGAGCAACAACGATAAAGAATCACGTTTCATAACTCTTGCGCGTGCTTCGGGGGTTGTATGACCCCACGTTGTCACCACACGGGGTCTCTGGCGCCATCTCTCGGGGTTCTATGACCCTACGTTCTCATCACACGGGGTCTCTGGCGTCACCTTTGGGGGTCCTATGACCCCACGTTCTCACCACACAGGGTGTCTGGCGCCACCTCCGGGGGTTCTATGACCCCGCGTCTCACCCACGGGATCTCTATACAAAAATTAAGTTAGTTTAGTTGCTCATGACTAGTATATACAGATCAGTGCACGCATCCAACGATCCTTTGCAATCCTTTGCATCCAATACAGTATATTGACAGTATACATACGCTAGTACACACATCCAAGGTGCATTGCAGTGCATTGAGTGCATCACGCAGGGATAAAAATTTTTGTTAAAAAAATTTTGATGAACATTACATATTGCCTTTGTCATTGAATAATGCAGTATTTACAAGACAGTTAATTATATCAAGTTATTATAAATCGTAATACGAAGATTTGGGATTGATACGAAGACTGAGTTTAAAAGAATTGAAAATGTTGGAAGAGGTTGCAAACAGTTGGACCGTCGGACTACATTCGTTTCTGGATGTTTCTGAGTTTACACCAGTGGTTTCAAATCTATGGGATAAAGAGACGTTCAACGTGCAACACATAAACAACACAAAAATAAAAAAGTCTGATGTACTCATTGGATACTTAATCCTATTCTGGGTGATCTTGTATCTTATGTATGAGAAGTGCCTTAACGTAAGTTTCTTGGTTTCAGTATTCAGGCTTTTTTATTTTGCCCAGCTGTGTGTATTAATACACTTATCAATTGTGTTTCCTTTGGGTTTAATTACAAAGTGTGTCGATAAAGGATAACAAGTCTACATTGATACTTTTAATTTCATTTATTAACACAGTCGCTACTACGACGTATGCGTATACCACTGATGCAACGGAGTAGAATAATCAGGGCTGTGTGGAATTGTGGATTTTGCTTTGGTAGCATTTGTTATTTGAAATCATCCACGATCACAACATTAAACTTCTTCTCTGAAGAACAAAAAGTAACACATGAAGAGCTAGGAGTAATCCTACATAAAAGCTTTTATTATCATCAGGCAGGAATAGAGATTTTCTGTCATGGAGCTTGGACAAAAGGCTGGGTGAACTTACTATTTGCATCGTTCATCATGAATCCATATCAAGAAAAGTATAACATTTTTCATTTTAACATGGATTTATAGTCTCAATCAATCATGCATTTCTTAACATTCTGTTTAATCATCTGTACTATGTTTTATATTTAAATATTTCAAATTCTAGTATTAATTAATTTCTACCATTGAAATCTCTACTTTAAAAAGTAATTCTTTTTACAGATGGTGTACAATAGTAAGCACTTTCCTGTTTTATAAGGCAATTGATACCATTGTGATAAACTTATGTCGAATTTCATTATGTATACCCCATTTTGGTAGAAGGAAGCTACCTAAACTGCTTTTCTGCATTCATTGTCTCAGCTGGTTAGTACACTGTTAGTTAAAAGAATTTATTTAGTTAATTTTTCTGTTCCACCTGGCATAAAATTCTATCCTGAATGCATAATTTGGCAGATAAAAACTTTAAGCAATATTCTTTTGCAGGATATATTTGTATATACTGTTTGTGCCTAAGTTAATGTTATGGCCAGAGAAGACCAATTATACACGAGTAGAGCTCGGTTTATGGCTGTGGTTTATTGCAGAATGTATAGATTCGGTAATATCATTTCCAGGCAGCAATGTGTACTTTCTTCAGTGCGATCTTTACTTGCAATACATTTTTAAATGTAGGTATGGTTGAGACTCGTAAGATGCGCAAGAGCTATACATTGGCTTGAAATTTGTTTATTTCCACCTCCAACACAGGAGGCAATCGAACTTGCAGGAATCCAAAAAAGACATAGGAATTCTTTAAAGAAAGTAGTTAATAGATCGAAGAAGACTGAATTATGGCAGACTATGCTCTGTGAGTTCACTGACATGTATTAATGAGCCTGTGGTACTAAATATAGTACTACTAGTACTAATGATGTTTATATTAAAATATCAGGTGCAGTAGCTATTAAAAAGAAAATTAGAAGGATTCGACAGGCTAAACAGAACGAGTCTGAATCTGTGACTAATTCTGCCGAAGCGGGATTACCTGGAACAGATTCAGTGGAAGAAATAAACAACGAGAAAAAGGATCAGTAACATAATCAGTATTACAAAAGTGCTGCTTACTAGGTATTGATAATGAATATTAAATACTAATGAATGATTTATATATAGTTCCTACGACATACTCAAATGAATTTTTGCTTGAAGTTATAAGTTACATTTCGATTATATATCTTTTTGACTTTTCAAAGTGGGTGAATTGAGAAAGTTCTATGCTTATTGAATTAAATAAAAGAATTGGATGCGAAGGATTATATGATGACAAAGTAAGTCATCAATTTTTCATAAAAAAATTTTTATTTGAGAATTTCATAGAGCTACACCTTTTGATGTAATAAGTTCCAATATTTACACGCTTATAAGTTAACGGTAAACTTGCGAACGATATTCGTTGCGTGTTTACGTAAACCTGTCTTTTAGATTCGGTAGTAATATTAGCGTGTATTCATGTCGAATCGGTTAGATAAAAAGAATGGTCTCATACAGTTGAGATGTTAATTAGTAACATAACTCGAAACATTTAACATTATTGTCATAATATGAATCTATTCGTTGAGTTTTTGCTCAGGAAATAACCTTTTGTCTCGAGGTAATACACAACGAGTGTAATATAACTGTCACGCGTACAGTATTATTATTTATCTTTTAAGCTACAAGCCCCACGCTATATACATAGTAAATGTACCAATACTGCTTTGCCTTGGTACCAATGGAATGAAGTTACATTGTGGCGAGGTACGTACAATGTAGAATATGTATCTTGTCTGTGGCAGTAAATAGAGAACATTAAGGAGTGATTCGATGAGCTGCGAATTTTCAAGCAACAAAATTATAACTTTCTTATGAAAATTAAAAATAGCAATATTAGTAGCATGCTACATTATTTGAAATTTCTTGTCGTTTCGTTGATACATTGACTGCCAGTCTAATATCCGAAAAAATTCCTACTAAGCCAGACTAGTTTCTCTTTTTTTAGTACTTATGTTCTCATTAAAGTATTTCACCCATTTCTGTGACATGGTAGTCAATGTGTTAAAACACAGAGAGACATGTATAATTGTTACGTGCTAACTATAAACATAATGACTGCATAATTTTAACTACTTAACGTTTTGTAATGCTGAGCAAGCTTTAAGTGAAATGTAAATTATACATATTTATTGCATCTTTGATAACAAAGTAATATAAGGGAAGGGTACAGTTACTGTACTGTAATAGGATAGTCAGAAGTTTATTAGACTAAAGAAATTGCCTCAATTGATCCAGTAAAAAGATCGTTAAATCGTGGCGCAGTCAGTTAAGTAAAACAAATGAATCGTAAAAGGTTAAAAAGAAAAGAGAATTATTAATTCAAGTGACACGCTGTTCCTAGATATATAAAGTTTTATTTCCGATCATTCTGGACTGTGTCAATAAAATATAGTACATGTATTTAGGCTGAATTGTTCCACGATGTTATACAGTTTACTGAAAAATATTATAAACGAACGTTGTTCGAATAAAATTGTATTCAATACGCCGGCAGCGTACACGCCTCGATAATATATCGTCGTATTTCTAAAAATTGTTAAAACATGTCGGTTTAGAAACTTATTTTACGTAAAACGTTGTATTATACAAATGCATAATACAGCTTCCGATCAGACAACAATTAATATTAAAATTACTCAAGCGACCTTAATTCTTACGACAATGTCTGAATGCAAGAAGATCCTTTAGCGAATGTTTAAATGCATGTCGTCTCTTATCGCAATTAAACAGTTACAATGTCGTTCTTTTCTTCGAAAGGGAATGTTGGGCAGGTAGTTTCAAGATGAGTGTCGCACGAAATAACGTTTAATATAACAAAATCTTCATTTCATTGTTTCTCATTTTAGTATTGTATAAATTTGATTTGTAACATTACATCTTCATCTTAATATATCAACAGCTTTTACATTAGAAACGTAACCTTCAAACTGTCCAAGGTTACGTGGTAACAGATAAGAATCAAGATGTGTGCCACTTTTCTTTTTATCCATGGACCATGTCCGATGTTTATATTTCTGAATTTTCTGTTATACTTTCAAAATACAATTCTAATGTAAGAAACATAACTCAACCTTGAAACAATCATCAACCCCTCTTCTCATAGAGCCATGCTCCTTGTTTTCTGGTTTTTTTTTTTAAGGTTGACACTTATCTTGGAATAGCCTGTATAAACTCAACGCATTGACAGTAACATTTGAAGGTGAAAGTATTCTGAAAAAGAGTGGCTTACGCTTAAATAATTAATGTTAGTGTCAAACGATGTTCGTCGCGGTTCCGAGATTTTTAATCCGAGAAACGAGTACATTGTTTCGCATGGTTAATCACATTAACAAAATTGTGTAAAAAGTGATGGTACAGAATCGGATCGATGATAAAATATTTAATCATAACGTCGATCGATTGTGCGCTACAGAACCCGGTTATTCGCTGCGATGATTATAGGCTACGTTTTTTTTCTTCTCTTTAATACAGCAACAATTCTGTCCCTGAAATGCGTTATGAATCCGAGTGCTGAATAAGGCCTTTTCATTCCCCTTTTGCCCCCCCCCCCCCCCCCTCTCTCTCATTCTCTCGCGTGAACGATAGACAACTGTCTTGTTTATTTACGTTATGTTTTTATAATCGAGCTTATAGACACCACTCACAAAATATCTTGCCATATTGTTTCATCGTGTGTGTAATGGTTATTTATAATAGTTATATATGCATATCGTTTAAATTGTTTTAACTTACGTTGAGAAACTATCACTGCGTTTACTTCCGTAATAAGGTGTAATCAGTTTTTCTTTTCCTCCACTCTTCCAGTTTCGTTTACTCTTGTTCCTTTAATATGACCTTTTTTTCACACACTCACGCGGATGGGTTTCACGCTCATTCAAACGACAACCGAACGAAAATTAAGGAAATAGAAAAGAAAACCTCCACGTGTAAAATTCATACCTTTGCGATGACCACAACGACAAGCCTTCATTGTTCTTGTCTTCCCTTGAGTTTGCAGTTGGCTCACGTTGAAACATCTCTATGAACTGGCTTAAGAAAGTACTCAATAACGTGTAATAAACAACTTGTCTGAACAAGATATATGAATCAACCTGACGTATTTTGAAAATATTACTATTATCGACACTGTGTATTCGCGAACAAGTTATGGATTTTCGTGATTATAATAATATTTTGTAAATTTCATTCTGGTCTATACATCTTGTTCAGAATAGTCTTGAACTGTCAGCTTTTAAATACTTTCACAGCCCACTGGCACATGGAACCCAGTTTTCAGCTTTCTCGTTCCACGTATAACCCCCTCTGTTACAAACGTTAATAACATTAAGGCTCTAATAATGTATACCATAGAGCGATTCATTGGCTAGACATCTCAGGGCCTAGTGTACAAAATTTAAAACGTATCTACTTGTGGATACTCGTAGCGTTTCTCAACCGAATCAAGGGTGTCCACAAGCTGTGATCAGTTGTATATCAATCTGGAGGATGCGTCGAGAAGCTCTACTACCCGTTAAAATAAAAAAAACGCCACCGAAGACGAAACCTTTCAAGTGGTGGATCGTTGCTTTGCTTCTTTTTTTTTTTAAAGACATATCGTGGCTACTCACATATACTTAACTAGCAACTTACCAATCAGACTCTACTTCTTTTTCTCTTTATTTTTTTTTTTTTCAATTTTTTGTGTTTTCTTTTTCTTTGGCGAGGGCAGCGGCGAATCGAGAACACATGATTTATCTGCCCGTCGAAAGTAAATCGTAATTTCGTACCTTAGGAAGACAATAAATTATTCAAACGCGATCGCACAATAAACAATTACGTGTCTCTTTTCTCGTTTGTTTTTTTTTCTTCTTTCTTTTCGTTACGGCTCGTTCTCCTCCCCTCTCGTGCACGCTGTGTAAAGTTTCTAATGAACGTCCACGATGGTGCTGGAACGAATACGATTACGAAAGTTACCTTATTACAAACATATACCGTATATATGAGCAATAAAAGTTGAGTCGGTTAAACTTTCTTAGGCCCACAACCGTTCCCCTTCCTCCTAGTCCCACGCCACTCTGGCGTTTCCCTCCCAACCCCGCCCCTCACGTGGATGCGGACATTTAGAATTTATAGCTTCAACGAGGACAAACGCGTCGTCCTTCCCTCCCGTCTTCCTTTACCCCCCTCCCCTTTTTTTTGTTTCTTTTATTTTGTGAAAATATGGCCCCATTGTTACAGGCTCGATGTAAATTTCGGAAACGGTGATCCTCTTTCTTTCTCTCTTCCTGAGTCTGCAACAGGCTTCGTTGAATTTCATGCCATTCACATTGGGATTATTGTGATATCTTCGTCCGATTCGTCGTTGATCGTTTTTCGTTTAATTCATCTCGACACTACGATTTCGTTTAATTCATCTCGACACTACGAAAAGTATTAAACGTTTTTTTGTTCCGTTCCTATCGGTCCGTTTCGTTCCCGCACAGTGAACAGACCATATAGCGTTCTCGCGACCGAACTATCTTCATTTTATACTTTGACAATTAATAATATCGTTATATAATACAATAGTATAGTTTTAACTTTGCTTTGACCGTTGCCCCCCCCCCCCCTTCACTGTCACTAAGGTACTATACGATCCACGATAACGACCACGACTATAACTCGTTTCTCATCTCCTCCCTACGAAGGATCACAATTGTATTGCGAATGCAACTGGCATAAAATTGTACGTGCGCTCCGACAACCCACTTTTCTCCTATAATTTTAATACCTTGTTTTTAAACCTTATAATCTCTCTTTTTTTATCCGCGATATTAACAATAAAACCACGAGCTGGAACGCTTCCGCTTCCAATATTCGCGTAAGAACAATAACAAGTCTCTTGTCCTCCGGGTTCACCGTATCTAACGTTTTCATTCGGAAAATAAAAGAGCCCTGAACGTAATTTCAAAGAAATCTTCAATCCAAACCGGAGACCAAGAAACCTCTGTCCTGTTTCACTCTCTGAAAGATTCTATCTTTTTCCACATGTCGGCTTTATCCAATTTCTCCACGTGCACTATAGGGATCCACGGCAAACTCTCTGGATGTCATCAAAGATTGCCAATGATGTTAACAGAATACAAATGAATAATGTTAATCAAATCAATGATCACCGATCATAGTCAGATTATACGACCTCGTATCTTTAATGCACATCAAGGATAAAAGTGTAAGTTAAAGAAATGCACTTTGTTTTGTTAACATCCAGAGAGTAATAAATCACTGCTCTATTTTTTTTCACTGTTTCGGAGCTCTATGTTCTGGCCGCCCGTGTGCGTATGCATTGAGAATCCTTGCCGAGCAGGCAAATCCCGATTAATTGGTCATTAATCGTATAATTCGCGCGAAAACTCGAAGACTCGTCGAGGCTTCAGTCTTTCAGTCGTTAACACCAGGGACGAGAAACCTCTATTTCGTCTTCTATTGCAAAGAAAGTATATATATGTATATACATGTTCACACTTAATTGGTAGATTACAAATGAACGGGAGCCTTTCTCAAGGATACAGTTAATTCAAGCAAGATTTAAAAAAGAATTGACGCCGATGATTAGACTGCGGATCTTATGCATTTTATGGCACGTGGAACAATACAGAATGTAACCGAATGAAAGAACTGATATTTTATGTAATCTCTAACTTAATAAAGTCTCCTTATTATTCATTTCTTGTCGAATTGGTTTATGACAATGTACATTGCTAAGACTATCCGCAGTCTACTAGTGGCAGAACTTGATCCAAGCAATACGAACACCCAATGGCATTTCAACGAATCCCGTGTACTATAATTACAACAGGAAAAAACTTACCCGTCAAGGTACTAATCTTCACTGTGTATCCCTTTGCGATTCCCAAAAACAGCAGTGGGCGAAACAAAGGAATATTATAGTGGGACAACGACCAACTAGTGACCCCGACGCGTTATTTTATCCTGTCTCAAGGTACAGTTCCTTTAGACCAAACGCAGGTGGATTGGAAGTATACCAGTGTTAACGCAGATTTTTCACACAGCGTAGACCGGGTGGACTAAAATTCGTGACGTTGTCTGAAAGCCAATGGCTATATTCTTTAAATGAAGTCGAAGTATAATACAGTGTATTTGTTTTGGCTGTTAATAAAAAGGTTTTTGTCCACTTCATTCGGGTACATTAAAACTGGTTTATCGTGAACAATAATAATAAAAAATTATTTTTTAAAGTCTACATTAGGTTTAATAACGGTAAATATACTTTGTTGAATCTTTTTGGGATAGTACCCTATACCATGACCTGTTTGTCTTTTTTCACCTGTTCTGTACATAACTCTTGTATCTTTGACCAAGATTATTATATAATAGATTACTAAATCCAATTTCTATTCAAATGAGGACCAATTACTTTCCGATTACACCACGAATCAGGTCTCACCCTGTACAAGTACAATGACACCGAAATTGTCGAAGACAGTATGTCTGGGTATTTCCTTTTTGTAAAAGTCCCTGGTCAACGTGAACGCATTTTATATTTGTTCCTTGCGCCTTTGCGTACATGTATCGTGTATATATTTATATATGTATGTGTATGTATGTATTTTCTGTGTACGTGAGCATACGTGGATGTGACGAACAAAATTAACAATTGTCTCTCAGAGGCTCGTGACGATGTGTGGCTTGGCAGTGGTGGATGCGATCTCGGATAGTCGCACATCGATTGGGATACGATCGTCGTACAGCGTCGGCGCCTGAAGAATGATACCGGCCGTACCGACGACCACGGCTAATGTAAAAATCCACAGGAATAGCCTGTCGAGTACCATCGCGACGTACTTCCAATCTTCTTTGACCTGAAATCAAGGTCGTTCATTCAGAACCGACGTCTGAACTGTGTGGAATGTGTTCGGGTACGTTAGGTCTGTCTTTTAAAACCCTTTTCCCATTTAACGGCCCGAAAAAGGTGACCTTTAGGAATTGTTTTGAAAAATGCAAAGAAGATATGATAAAAAAAAACGTCCTGGCCTTTATCTATTGTACATTCTTAAAGAAATATTTTCTTTAAAAGAAATTCCTAAGAGTTTTTCCGGTCGCTAAAGGGGAAAAGCGCCTTAAATTGTATCAGGTCTGTCTTTTTTTATGTCCAATTTGCTGCCTATGTTGTTGCCAATTTGCTTCCTATGTTGCTACCAATGTGCGCACAAGTTGCTTATCGCAAATCTTGCATCAAACTTGTAGCCATAACCTTATAACAGGCATTGGACAAAATTTGGCTTTGCAGGTTTGGCTGACTGGGTGGTTAGGTTCATCTTGAAAATGTATTAGGACTGGATAAACTTATCCCCAAACGATATAAGGTCTGTCAAAACCTACTTTCAACTTGTATTATTTCTGGTTAGGTCTGTCTTCAACTATATTGTGTTTGATTATGTATGTCTCTGACTGAGTTGGGTTTGGTTGTGTCTGTCTTCAACTGTATTGGGCTTTGTTAGGTCCATCCTCATCCGTGTTGGGTTTCAGGTACGTCTACCCTCACCTGTATTGGGTCTAATTAAGTCTCTTTTTTCAATTAAATGCTAAGTTTACGGTCTATTGGTTTCAATAAACGATACTAGACAATTTGATAGGTATTGCATGAGAATTTTGACGTACTCTAGTTGAGTCCTCTTCTCTCTTTGTATGGTCGGCAATGAAACGAATGCCTTCGATGGCCTTGTACAGTTCTGGGCAGTGATGCCAATGATGAAGCGTGTTACAGAGAGCGTCCACGCTCTCCTCAGTCGGGAGCTGCGGTGGTGGTGCAGCCGTGGCCGCTGGGGACCCATGAATGCGGCATGCGCTTCCCAAATTCACCGCTTCCAATTCCCTGATCATTGAAATCCTTTTATATTACCTCTAAAAAGACCTACTTTATTTCACACGCATGCCATGTCTACAATATTACAGACGTAAAGGACAATACCAAGTCCTACAAGACAGGTTACTAACAAGTTGGGATCATAGAATGTAGATCAAAGAATGTACGCAAGGATTAACGATTAGCTCAGTGTTAGCAGATCAGGTTTATCTGGAAGTCTATGTTACAATTCGTCTATTTCTGCATCCACATTAGATTTGGCTAAACCTTTCATTTAGATTGTAACAGTGAATATTAGTATAGCGTCGACTGGTTCCAGAGTACCTATCAAATATGTACCTTCATATTAATTGCAAGACAAGTCAAATGTTCCTTATACCCTGAGATGTTAATATAATGTATGCAATTAAAAATTATGATATGGATTTAAATTTACGATTTTCTCTATCATTAATTTCCTTACTAAAAATAATGTACCGTATTAAATATTGCATTACATATTCGTAGACCTAATAATTAATTGACCCCACCGAATGAATTTTAGGCTAAGCTTACTGCCGGCTAAGGATTTGCCTATTAAAAATGGGAGTCTTTTAGTTGAAGAGTTTATGGGATATGTTATTGCTTTAATACCGAGGGTGTAATTCGTCCCGCGAATCGAGACTCGGGAACAAAACGGAGGACTCAACCAGCTCCGACGCCGAAGTCTCTACGAACAAAGATGGATCCCGTAATTCGAGACCGTTGCACGTTCTGACCATCACACGTTGACCATGATGGCCGGCCATGCTACGTTTGTCTATCTGGTACTGCGGCCTGTTCAAGAACAAACAAAATTTATATATTATTAATGGCCAAAAATCTTAACTTCTCACAACGAAATCGTGAACATATTCTACAGATTATTCTGAACAAGATGTATTTGTGAAAAAAAATTAATAAAAAAGTACTATTACTATCAAAGATCAAGAAGTGTATATTATATCCGAGAATCTTAATTTCTAAACTTAAACCTACTAAGAAACCATTAACGCAACTTGAAATCACTAAAAAGTGAATGTCAACAAATAAATAAAGTGATACTATAGTCACCAAAGGTCAAAATAATGTATATCTATAAAAAATCTTGATCTTTAAGCTTTACAGAGTGATTGTCATGAAAGCTTTAATATCGAATTGCAATGAATAAACAGATCGTGTCCATGTTCTGGAGTTTCTTTCATTCTATTAAAATTTGATATGATAAGCGATCGAAGTGGAAGAGTCAAGCAAAGACATCGAATTCATGAACAAATATATGCTGTGGTCAACGGGATAGTGGACAAAGTTGTTCCATAAAATCGTTCAATACTTGTTATTTAAGCTGTTCTTTCCAAATTGTCAAGCTCGTGTAACTACAGTTCTATATACATATTATCTAACAGCATATCATCTGTACAGGTGACGCAATTACCAATGGAGAATCGTATCAAGCGGGTCGGTGACAATTTACAATCGAAACGTGAACAACAAACTCCGAGCAAAGGTGCTATCGACGACGGTAGGTGCTGGAACTGTGCAAGATGTTTCGCAATGGGAAGACATTCTTAACAGAGGGGGGGGGGGAAGTGGGATAATAAATATTATTTAAGTCCCTGACCTCGCAAGGAGGTTTAAACGATGAATTTACAAAAATCGAATTTCGATCGAACCGACAATATTCGATCAAGCTTTCAAATAGACAAAATTTTTCCAATTTTTTATGATCCTTGAATCGTTTTTCGTCAATACTGTTGCGTTCTTTTTCTACCAATTTTTCGATGATCACCCCGGGTCTCGTTAACGACGTGCTCTTCTCCGAGCCAATTAAACACTCGGCTTGGAAGAACATACCTAGCGAGTGATGATCGTTTCTGGTCGCGAGCATAACTCTATATGTATAAGCAATATTGCCGCTCCAGTTATTAACTGTTATAACTCGAATTTTCAAAAAAATTTAGTTAATCAATGTACATGCGCCTCGCTGATCCAGAGAATACAAATTCTTCGTAATATGAAGAAAATTCAACCTAGATAGCAACAAATATTCCTTTCAGTTCTAACTCGAGAAATCCAACTTCGATTTCAACTGAGTTTTGTAAGATGATAGTGTACAGGTTTCTAATGATGTACCTATGTGAAATAATTAGGTGTAGATACTCGATAATTGCAGAGATATGAACAATTAAAGTTACGAACCTTCGAGATGCATTACGCATATAAGTCAAAGTTATCGAAGTTACATTGGCAAGGTAAAAGAAAAACATTTCGGTGAACGGAAACCGATCCCAGGACCTCCGATTTATCAACCGAACAACCTTATACTTCCGATAAATTTGACTTACATTCATAGTACATACATCTTAAAGTTATGTAACATTAATATTGTACATCGTAGTACAATTCTTAGTAAAAATATTTCAGAAATGTAGCAGTCATTTTCTGGGCTATTATACATTTAGCACATTATAAATAATATTTTAAAAATCAGGTTACCAATAAATAACTGTTTCGATAAAAATTTCAAGATAAAGAAATGTGATTGTAAGTTCAACAGGTGTTTTGTTGTTATAAATAACTACGTTCAAGTATTAATCTCAAACGTCCATAAATTAAACAATTCAATCATTTACTGGTTAGTTTACTATCATCCTAGAAAATCCCATTAAAGTCGAAGTCGGACAGTTGGGGTCCTTTCCTTGTAAGCACGTGCTTATTTTGCTTAATGGTTAATCCTGCCTCCACGACAGTCAACGTGTCGGACGAAGAAATCGGGCTAAACGATCCTGATTCGAATTCCAAGCCAAGTGTTTAATCGTCTAACGATCGTCGAACGTGGCCCCCGTTCGAGGCGTTGGAACCGTGATAAGTGGTTGTCTCGTTCAGTTTCAAGTTCAGTACCGCGGGACAGAGAGCGGAGAAGTGGTATGTATATGTAGTTGTGCTAATGGTTGCGGAGACGGACGACGCGGCGCTAGGCGTCACGTGTGCAAGGTGTGGCGGCCACTAATGAACGTTTCTAATGCTTAGTTGGCAACAGGCCCAACGGGGTCGCGAACCGTCCAAATGCTTCGTAGATAATCATATCTTGCCTGGAATCGTAATCGGTTCTCTTCGAAGACGTATTATACCTGCGCATCACCAGCAGTCTCGGCAGAACATGGATAAAAACACGACGGACCCACGGCGCCATCACGTGCGTCTGTGGCGACCGGAAGTGAACATTGAGGACTACCACGGTTACGCATATACTGAAACGTTACGATCGATTATGTTACGTTAATCCCTACTGAAACAAGCGAAAATAAACGAGTTGGTTAGAAAAACAATTCGGTGGTAGCAGTTCCGAGAAAAGAGGTCCATACCTATTGATTTCGATGAAACTTTGTGAAATTGTCTTAGATACACGCAAATGAACATGTATGTGTATGTATAAGGTGTTATTTATAATATGTTCATTGTGGGAGTATTTAAGATAATCGTACCATGTTCCAGAAAAATTGGAGGGTAGACCTTTACTCGAAACTACGCTGCCGCTCATAAGTATTAGGACACCAATCTGTAGAAAGAAAATATGATATTTGGTAACGTATATTTTAAGCTACTTTTAATACTTTATGGTAGTATAAGCGTTACCTGTCAAGCTTTAATATCTCCTAAACAATATCTATTTTAGATTTTTAGCAATTTCGTAACAGCTTGTAACATTTACTGTATATTCGGTAAGTGTCGTAATACTTATGAGTGGAACTGTACAGTAAATCCTTAATGAGTGTTCGAAGCCGATGTTTCAGTCGCATATGGCCATTAGTTTATGAAATATTTAATGTGCCGTGCCAAGGAACCTTCGAACACTCATTGAGGATTTACTGTACATCGAAAAATTAGTTTCGTGGATTTCTTGTATTTTGCAATACTTTCGATCGTTCGAGTGTTGTATATTTATAGGTTACTTAGAGAAATTATTCAATAATGTAAATAAAGACTCGAGCAATTACTTTAATACAGGTTTACCGAAGTTTCTAGTTTAACTATTTGAGTGCTATATCAGCAGTATTTGTATGTCTAATGAACAGCATCGGTACCGATTATGGACAGACACGAGATATTATTTAAATAAAAATTCGATACATTATACGATTCGTCTAAACAAAAGTTTAAAGTTAGGATTCTGTTATGCATTATTTTCAATTAATGGTTCTATAAGAAATTGTTCTGCGACGTTTCTCATCACGGACGCACTGTTATCAATAGTGATTCTTCAATCATGAATTCTTTCCACTTTAAAAGGTCACTCCGACACAACTATGGTACTCGAATGGTCGAACAAACAAATAAACGTTACAATCTTTTATGTAGTTTTTTTACATGATCCTCTCTTTTAGATCACTGTATCGATCCTGTTATTACTCTACTATATTCACGTTCAGGACTTATATGATTTGACACACAAATTTCTAGATAAACAAGTGCTGTTGATTATTTTTAATTAGCTTCTAAAAAGTCTTGATGATCGATTCTAACAACTATGTACCTAATAACGTTCACCGATGACTTCCCCCGTTTAATTGTTCGAACATTCTGTAATTCGTAATAGATAAATCGGTGATAATACCTGAAGGTGTCTAGGATCATGGTGAAAAGGACGAATTTACCGAGAAGCGGTACCACGAGCGACGTGGGCGGGATGATTTCGGCCAGCAGGAGGAAGAACACAGTCAGCGACAGTAAAATCGAAATTGAAAGGCTGACCTGCAATTGAGAGAAATCGACACTTTGCAACATACTGTGTATAATAACTAGACTGCGGATGTTTATGCAAATATAAATTTTTATGGATTACTTTGTCGAAATTCGATGCAAAAAAATTTTTATTTACCTTCTTAACGGTTCTAATAGGTTTGAAATAAAAAGAAAATCTGAATAAATTTCCTGAAACTTTTTATTATACTAAATTTCAAACAATTGGATATTCTATAAATGCATAAAACCCGTAGTCTAATAATAACATTTAATGATTAATTATAATATCTAATTCCTTAATCGTAAATACAATGAAATGAAAACGTTAACAGAGATCAATATCACGCTTTTCTTTTTATTTTGTTAACCTCGACAAACCGTTTAGTCGACCAAGTGGGTTTTTTTAACTTTTTTTTTAAAGTCGTTTATAGTCCGTAAGCTCCGAATAATTACGACGTTAGTCCTGGCGATTTTTGAGATTGTTTAGAATAAATGGAAAGGACGAAAAGGGAGCAGTAAATGGAAAACAATCGAATACAATGTCCTGATCCGATTCGGAATTTGAAGTGCACATTCTCGAGGAAAGCGTGTCCGCCCACAAAGAGACAAAGGAGGAGCCCTCGAGGTTAAGTGCCGACGAACAAAACGTTCCTTTCATTCCCTCATGACACAGTATTGTACATTTCGAAACGTGTTAAGGTCGTGGCCATTACTCCTTCTAATGGCATCCAAATGACTCGTGCACATAGTCCTAAATAGGGGGATGAAGGATCGCGTAATTTCATCTCGGTCCTGTTTTCACCGTTTTTGTCAGATAAAATAAGACAAGAGTAAACTTAGAAGAATTTAATTAAACAAAAAAACATAAACAGTGATTTCTTATATCTGATTCATTTTTCAACTGCTAAATCGATTTTTCTATTATTATCTTATATTTTTTAGATATCAAGGTGACTGAATTTTTTGAAGGTCAATGCATCTGAAGGACGAATTAAACAACCTATAGCATTGTGGTATTAAAAAAAGATGCATTGGAATTGAAAAAACTCAAGGTCACCTTGATATAAAAAAAAAAATAAGATAAAAAATCAAACTGTATTCATCCGATGCATCCCTTAAAATGCTACATAAATTCATGAAAACGTTCTGTGATACAATCGATAGGTAATGAGATATTTTAGATAGCAGTTCGTATTGATTCACCCGGTATTTTTGGTCTTTATACCTGCATTCATCCCTGTAGATAAATCGTGTTGCTGTTTCTCTTTATCCGAACATTTTTCTCAGTTACCAAAAACGAAAAGTAGATAACCGAGTTATTCAGGCAGAATGTTTCAAAAGCCTCGAAATTCCCCAATGGCGATATCGTTAAGTAACACGACCGTCAGGCCGCAAAACAAGCCCCCGCGGCGCGGCGACAAGGCCAGAAAAATCGAGCCAAGCGACGGGCGGTATGAATCAAGCTTTAAATCGAAATCCGGCAGCTAGACTCTAGATCAACGCGGGGGCGGGAGAAACAATGCCCTCTCGAATCGGTCTTTGTCCTCGGTTTCCCTCGCTTGCTTACCGATTTGAAACCCACAACCCCCTTTCAGCCCACCTGTCCTCCAATGCACCTCGACTTTCATCTCGTGTTACGTCTATCTTTGCGAGTGTATCGTGTCTGTGTGTTCATATCGATACGGATACCACCGACCTTTCGTGGCCGTTGCATCGTCGACGAATTGTGGTCACTTAACACTAGAACTACCAGTGTTCCAATGTATACTAATGTAAATTGTATAATATATGGATACGTACAGTATACATGGTGTCGTGTAACTGCTGGTACAACCGGGGAAGGGGGTGATTCTATGTGAAAAAATAAATTGAAAATGAAGTTTCATGTGATTTTTTAGGTATGTATGAAAATCAACATATTTCTTTTAAAAATGAGGACGTTTTCATGTTTTTTAAATATTTGATTATTCCTATTCACTAAATGTATGCTCTAGTATAATAAACGTATTTTATAAAAATAAAGTGTCATTATATGTGTTTAAATTGTATTAAAAATAGAAAGCCGATTCATCGGTTCAAGGTATTTTTCGGAAAACCCACAAAGCCGATATACAGGGAGAGTCAATAAGCACTAGCACCTAAATACATCATTATCTATTAATTGTACCAAAAACCGTTTTAATGAAGTATATAGCATTTTAAGGGACTCATCGGATGGATACAATTTGATTTCACTAATATCCTTTTTGTTAGATATCAAGATTACCTCGAGTTTTTTTCAAGGTCAGTGCATCTGTTGTTTTAATACCATCATGCTATAGGTCGTCGAATTCGTCCTTCTATTAGGAACAACGTAGTATTAAAAAAAAGATGTATTGACCAAAAAAATGAGTTATAAAAAAAATCTAAGTCTATCCATCCGACGCGTCTCTTAAAATGCTACATAATTCATTAAAACGTTCTCTAATACAATTAATAGGTAACGAGTTATTTTAAATAGTATTTCTTATTGACTCGTCCTGTATATCGGCTCTAAGGTACCAAAAGGGTTAAAAGTCGGAAGTTCAATGGAAATCAGTGAATCAGGCTTAAGCAATCGTGGTCCCGCCTTGTATCAATTTCAGAACGAATCGAAGTGTCGGAGGGGGGCGAGGGGCGTGAGACTCGACTGCGGATGGCACCGTTGACATCTGACCTTCTCCCCCCCGGTTTTAATCCCCTAACACCGTCGCGCCCCTGGCGCACCAGGGCTTGCCCCGTTGCTTTTTCCAGCCGGAGAACAATACGACTGAATTATAGAGGCGCGCACGGCGTCAAGTGGGTATCGGCTCGAGGTCAAGAGTCCATGAGGAATGGAGGCCGAGCGGCATTTAGAGGTTTGCATACCCGCCCGTTGGATTTTGATATTTGACCCTCTCCTCCACTTCGGAATCCATCCCGATCGAACGAATTGGATATCCACGATGGAATACAACACCGCCCGCGCGCCGCATAACTCGTACTCTTTGACTGTACAGCGTGGATCCGGCTTACCATCCCACCAACAGACGATTATTTAACCCTCTTATAGACTGAATTTTGGTTTGCGTAATTATAAGAAAAATTTCTGCAACGTGAAACCAACGATATTTAACCTCTAAATAGAAATTAATAATGAATTAATAATTATTAAAGAGTTTATTATTACTCCGATATCTCGAGACTGGAGTGGATAATCGCTACAAAGAATCTTATCGGTTACCAAAGAAAGGGCATAGAACACGGTATGTATACATGTCACATAGCGGTAAAAAAAATAACCCTCTTAGTACCCACAAGCCGAAATATAAATTATAAATTCTGGTACAAAAAGTAACGAAAGTATGATACTTAATGTAATACAAAATACACTTCAGTGTGAAATACAAGAAATGGTGTAAAATTATCATTATTTCTAGAAAAATAGTGTCAATTGTAATAAATATCTTCGAGAATGCATGTTTTCTAAGATATTTCTAGATGGTACACAGAAAAATTGTAAGGTACTATAAGGGTTAAATTGGACCAAAGAAAAATATAATTTTTTTGAACAATAACTTCTTTACACACGATGACATCCAACTAAAACCTTGACAATACTACTCAGGCCGATGACGTTGACAACATATTAAAAAATCATCGAAATCGGAGGTGGGTCCTGTATCTATCCGTTGTAAATATTTACCTAACATCGAAAAGTATCCAGCGAAATTAACGTTGGCACGTTCACCGAGTATAGTTGTATTCTAGAACGAGTGATTAGTAATTTTTCTGAATGGAGAACTCACCTTCTCGCCACTGTCGCTTGGCAGATAGAAGACCAACACAGTGAGAAACGAGATACCCATGCACGGTATTATAAGGTTGACGGTGTAAAATAGAGTCTTCCGTCTCATGGTGATGTTGAACGTGATGTCGAGGTAAGGCTCGTCGCAGCACGTGTAAAATTTTTCATTTCTGAAAAACGAAACGTGGCCAACACACGGCATTTCTCCTGCCTTGCGCGGCTGTTGCCTCGAGAATTGGGTTTCGGACGTGTGTGCATTAACCGCCACTTCGCAGATTGTCGCGGTCGTGTGAGCCACAGATGTTTGTACAAGCGTAAACCCGTTCCGAAAAGGCATTTCTCGCTGATAAGATTATATTTTTTTCCTCGGTGGCTCGAACTCGATTGGAAAACAAAAGAGAATTTGAAACGACGAACCATTTTCATTCGAACAATCCCTCGAATTATTTTCAGGATTTTTAGCCTTAAGTGGTGAGGTGTGGTCTGAGGAACTCCACGAATAGTTTTAGAATATTTTATTTTTACTATCTTGCGCGTTTCACCTGGTGTGGCGCGGGTCATTTTTGGCGACTTGGCTGCGTCAGCAAGGGATTTGAAGAAGTCGCTCTAATTACTGTGAATTTTTATTTAATCTTCTCTCTACTATTCCCTCGATGTTTTACTCTCAACATATATTGTCTATAAATAGTAGATATTTTTTGAAGGTTAATAATTATAAACACTAAATATTTAATTTTTCGGTTCAAAAATCGGTTTATATCGGTATATACGGTCTTCTGTAGGTAATAAAACACCATGCAACAAAATTTTGAAAATTCTGAAATGATTTGAATTTCTGATATGCCAATTAGTTATCGAAGCTAATCGAAATATTTATGAATATATTATTTGTTGAATACGATAGATAGAAAGTCACCAAAATTGTACTAGGTTGAATTATTCGAGAAATAAGATAATTAGGGGCTAAAGGGATGCTTGTTTGTTTCTATCTTTTTTCTTAGATTACCTACAATCTGAAACAACCACTTGTATAAATAAGTAATAAGATTTCCAACCTCACCAATTAAGGGTTACATTATACATAACGGTTTAATGTGGATTCGCGTAATGATATTCGGGCCACTCACCTCACGGCTGGGACTTCGAGGATGTCCCACTCGACGGAAGTGTAAAACTCCGACAAATCGACACCGATGTCGACGACATTGCTGCCGCGGATCTCGTCGATGTGCCTAAGATCGACCTGCGGAAGATCGTTTACGAAAATATATATTAATGGGACATCCGTTAATTGAATAATGAAGATAGAAAAATAAATCGATTGAAAGATATCTACTAAAATGGTAATTATTTAAACAAAATTTTTAAGTTACTTATTAAGTAAAGTAACTCTTAAAATAATCGAATAAATGAAAATCTAGTAAATTTGTCGGTCATTTAGACGAGTGTTTTACATTCATTTAGAGCGTATAAGCCTATTTTCGATCATTCTACGTGAAGGAACTAGGAGAATTTTGGGTCGTTTGTTTTTTACCATCTGGTATATAATGATTAATGTGTTGTTCGTGGATCGTACATTGTGGTAAATCCATCAAGTTCGTTCAATAAGAAGCATGTACCGATCGATCAGCTCCGCGTGGTACGAATGGACATTCCCGTAAAAGATGATTACGTGAGACGCTTTTAACGACCAAACGGGACACGTCACACTTGATATCCGAAGGATCGTCAATTTCTGTCGCTATGTCAAACACATTCTATGGGGATCAATTTATTTTTTAGATTGAGAAGTCTAACGAGACAATGAACGAACGATCATTAAATTGTTGCATAGTAAAATGGCGCTCGAATTAATACCAATGGGTTGTTCATTAAGGTATCCAGAAATAGTTCATGGTTGCAACTTATTTGTTACTATTTTCATAAAATATGTGAAGCGTATCAATATGCATTGTCAAATTCAATACTTATTTTCGATGAAATCAGAAGCTTGTACTATTTCAGTCTTATTTACTGAAAACTAGTAATTTTCTAGTTCTGACAGTGCATTGAGTCCGAACACTTACGGAAGGTAGTTGTATACAGGATATCCCACCTAACGTGAACACCTTAAATATCTCATTTGTATTTTAGAAGATACAAGAAAATATGAGGGAAAAGTATTATTTGGTTAGAAGGAGTGAATATTATGATAAGCAAAATTTTTTCTCAAGTTCATATTTTTCGAAATTTCAAGGTCATCAATATTTTTTTTAAACGAGACCATACATTAATAGCTGAGATTATGATCAATCCAATGACCTGTAATAGTGTGACCTTCATGTGACCCCGAGTACGAAAAATCCACAAATGTATCAGAGCAGATTTAAATAATCAAATAACTACAACACAGGGGTTAGTGTAAAAATGTATCAAAGTTGATGAACGTCACTTTCAGTATTTATTAAAATTAATTTTCTGCAAATCAAATGCACATTAGGTGTAACACACCCTGTTTACCAATAAAACGGAATCGCCTGTATTTACGTGTTCGAATCGTGAGAGAGTATCGAGTTTATCGTGTGTCTGAGCTCTGTATCTGGGACTTTCGTTTCCGAACGTTGTCTCGAAGAAGTAATCAAGGATTCCGGCGCAGTTCACCAGGGAATCTCGTTAACCCGGACTTAACGTGCAGAAACGGACGGGACAGAAACATCAGGAACATCGAGGGGCATTCCGTTCGCCCGAGCGGCGAGTGGATCAAAGATAACTAACCGTAATGCCCCGGCGTTCCCTCGATTAACTAATTGATACCGGTCCCGTGTCAATTTCCCATTGATACTTATCGCCAGGAACGAACCAACGGCCTCGTTTATGAACTCCCGTTACTTGTCTCTGAAACTCGTGTGTCACTTTATCTGAACTCACGTCGCTTATAACACGACACCCGTTACATTTATCCGAACTTGTCACTTCGTAATTGACGCGTGTTGTTACCGAATCAGAACTCGCGTCAGTCGTATCTCTTAACTTATTGTTAGTTATCTTATTTGGACTTGCGTTACTCTATCTGTATTTGGGTCATTTTATCTGGAGTTGCGTTACTTCATCTGACTTTGGATAGTTTCATTTGAAACTCGCGTCACTCGTATCTCAACTCAGTTACTTTATCCGAATTTGCGACACTTTATCCAGAGTTGCGTTACTTCATCCGAATTTATATGTTTGATTCTACTTAACAAAATTATTTACTAAAATGCAAAGTTTATTTCAGAATTAAGAAAAATTTCTGAAAAGATGATAATAGTAACGATAAGGAAATTATATAAATAGATATTGTATAAATATTTCGACATCTATGTAATCCTTATTTCAGAAATCTGTGAATAATGTGAATAGTCACTATATACAGGGTGTAACAAAAATGTTGCAGATCCCTGAAATGGGTCACTCGTGAGGCGATTTGGAACAAGTTTTTTTCGTAGCAAAAATGTTATCCGAGGCTTTGTTAGCGAGATACTAACGAAAAACTCCGACCAATCAGAGCGGGAGTCTGCCGGCCGAGCTTAAGTTTAAATTGTTCTATATAAATGTAACGCTCAACATAATCGATTACCTGGAAGCCATCGTAAGTCCACGAGCCGAACTTCATGACGCACGTCTGCTCGTCGAAAGGAAAATATTCGACGTCGATCTCGCAGGAAGACTTGTATATCGCCGGTGGCTTCCACTCGACCCTCCCTGTGTAATTCAGCGTCGCCTTCGTTGCCAGCGTCACCTCGAAATTGCCGTCGGCGCTGTACACGATTCGAAAAGTGATAACGACGGATCCCCGAATCGATCCGTGATCTATTTACAACCTAGGTATACACGCTATTTCGTAACTTTCGAATCACGTAATTTTGTATTCTGCCGTGAAACGCGGAAATTGGAATTTTGCAGCTTGAATGTTCGAATGTTTCATTAGTGTACGTGAATCTGATTATATTAATATTTTCGCGGTGTACGGTTAACAGACAATGAAATTTTATTGGATTCACGGCAAATTACGCCCCTTTATGACCGTATTCCAACCCCCCCCCCCTCCAATACCGAGAGCAACAAAATTCAGGGATTATCCATGGCCGTTTGCCAAACGATTTCTGATGACACTGCGGATCACCGAAACTTTGTAGGAAAAAAAACCTTTTAAAATGCAAAATACTGAGCGAAAGTACGTTATATCTTTTGTATATGTATATATTGTACGTTACTGTTTCTCGTTTGTCGGATAGGTATACATGTACGAAATTGTAAAACGGCTTAATGAATGATTTCTTGCTTTTGATTTTTGTGTTCGTTCAAAGTCAAACTGTGCTATTAATGAAAGTCCAATCGAATTAAAGCTACAAGAAAAAAATCTCCCCTTTCCTCTCAATACGTATAACGAAAGGTCCACTTGTTTAACAGTTAGAGAAGATTAAGCTATTTTAATCACTGATATTCGAATGTCGCGATTTATCGATTTTTATAATGATGAATATTAATTTTTTATGTAAAATGAAGAATAAAAATAAAGTTTCTTACTTGTTGTACAAAACTATATCGGGCCTCCATATATGATCGGATGGCACGTGCAGCATCTCCACCCCACCATATTCTTTCGGATCCCATTTTAACTTGTAATCGTACCACGACTGCGAACAAAACACCGAAAATTTCAATTACCTCCTTGATTCACAACACTCCGTTGCTGGAAAAAAGTGGACAAAAAAATATTCAATTTCCTGTTGCAAAATTACCAATCTCTGTTGGTTGAAACGAAAAACGAAATTGATTACACGAGGAACACTGAAGCACACAGGACAAAAGAATTTAAAAGAAAACGTACACAAAAATTCTCACCTTTCCAGGTAAATTTCACAAATTTTCGTCGAAAGAAACAAACTATTGAGTCGTTCATTTCTCAAAGTGATTAACTCCAAAAAGAAACGAAACATAAAAATACAAATTATACAAGTATAAAAAGTTAAGCATTGATCAATTGCTTTGGCGCTAAAATTCGAAAGAATTCAAAAAGTAAAGTCAGTCACTTTCGCCTGTGTGAACAGTTCAACCATCCCGAAATAAACGGAAAACTATTGGATTCGGAATTACGAATGGAACATCTGGTATAGCGGTGTCCACGTGGACAGGTGACGAGCGGAGCCTCGAGCACGTTTAAAGGAGAAACAACGAGAAACTCGGAGAAACAAAGATTGCACACGCTTCTCTGCCGGCTGTCAACGGTGGACCACGCGTGGCGCCGATTATCGCGCGGCGATTCGCTCTTTCAGCATTTTCCGGGAGGGCGCACGGATTGTTTCCGTTGGACAGGGAGGGCGGCTGTCAACGGCAGGGGAACGTCTGCTTTGTGCGCGGCGTTGAACAGTTTTGACGGCTGTCGGCGGGGGAATCCCCTGCCCCACTTCCTCTTCCGCTGCATCAGACCTCCGTGGAGGAATTAATTAAACCGTAAGGAACAACGAATCGCGATGCAACCGAATTCGACGAACGCCGGTGGAAATGTATCGGACGTATACAGGGTGAGTCAGTAAGAACTATTTAAAATAACGCGTTACCTATTGATTGTATCAGAAAACGTTTTAATGAATTATGTAGCATTTTAAGGGATGCACCGGATGCATAGAAAAATGGTATTCGGATTTCTAAATGTTACAATGTAAAAATAAAGAAAATATATAAGAAAAATAAAAAAATAAATCCGCCTAACTTTTTTATTTTACTCTTAAAATAACAAGATGCAACGTAAATATCAGTCTCATAATTATGAAATAACGATTTAAGGAGCGTTAAAGGGTTAAATATAGGTACTGAAGTTTTTGATGATTCGAATAAAATTCTACCAAACTCGAAACCGACTCTTGCACGATGCCTTTAAACCGTCCCTAACGACAACGTAAATCACTTCAGAATCAACACCGTATAATGCAATCATGCCCGGTCAATTTCCTTTAATTGATTCTATTTCTGGCCCCGATAAAGCCCACCCGTCCCGATCCGAATCGAAGGGATTCGTGGCAGTATTTGCCGACCATTAATCTATCAAGCGGCGTCACGGGGTAACGACCATAAGTACATAACGACGGGGACTCGGTGTCAAACGTTCGTGGTTCGTCGAAATGCCGCCTGCAACGGAGAGAAAGAGCACCCGCATATATTAAAGAAACCCGTGTTACTCGGGTCGAAATGAAGGGTGGGTGATGGGGATAAGGGATTTCTTCGGCGACACCGGTGAATTACAGACTCTACAATTTCTATTTACACGAGCAACCGCTGATCCATCGATTTTACACGAGGATTTCTCCTACAAACCGATTGATTCTATAAAAGAAGGTTAGACGAGAAAAGAAAATAAATTTATTCGTTCGTATGTTACGTATCTGTGGTTAGCAGGAAAAACAGTGCATAGTCGTCATGAAAAAATGGAAATTTTGTGTTTCCGACGAGTATACTCGTCATACAAAAGACAAAAAATTGCCATTTCTTCCTGACGAATATATTCGTCACAAAACAGTTAACAGGTTAACAGATTCATCAACTTGGAAATCAAATAAAGATTTAGTTTATTTCTGACCTTGTCGAACACTTGGTTTCGTTTCTTTTCTGAAAGTTTGCAATAGTGACTTGGATCCACAAAATCCTCTGTGACGAATGTACCGGGTGTTCCGTAATTATCGTAGCGAAAAAGGTGGAGCATGTTTTCGTCGCAGCCAAACAAACCCAGAAGCTTGGCTGTCGGTGATTTAATTTGGACGCGAGGATTTCCACGGTTCCCGGTGAAATATCAATAGAAAAAAGAATGTGAGGGGGAGGGGGTGGGATGCGGAGAGATGGTCGCGAATCTGTCTTACGTAATCCAGCACTCGAAAGTGGGTTGCACGGTTCACCGGACTTATTTTGCGACTCTCGAGTGGATGGTTCTGGCCGATTTTCGTTTTACCGAATACGCTCCCTCCGAGTGTTTATATGTATGTCATATACGTACGTACATACATACATACATATACAGGGTGTCCTATCTAACATGATCACCTTAAATACCTTTCTTGTTTTTGATGGTAGGAAAAAAAATGTGGGAGAAAAATATTATTTGTTTGGAAGAGGAAAATGCTGTAAAAAACAAACAAGTTTTCTAAAGGTCATATTTTTTCGAAACTTCAAGGTCGATATTATGTATATAAATTTATATATTTGTGTGAAACAATGGTCGATCTAGCGACCGGAACGATTACGATAGAAAAAGCTCGCAGCGAGTGCATCGTTCTCCGATACTTCGTTTTCTCGGACAAAAGAAGAGACTTTAACCCTTGACTTTAAACCTTGTCGCTTTGGACCCATGCTTTTGCACCAAAACAATTATATTACAGTTCAAACTACACTGCGTGATATAACCATAAAACCATCGTAAAATTTTCAATTCTTACGTATTGTGGTTAAAATAAAAATGAACCAAGTATGCCATGTCTGAAATTCTGTTGAGAACTAATGTTTCTCCAGAAACGGATACATTATATTCCCTAGAAAAAAAGTGATTCGTTTTTATTTTAACCAGGATATATAAGAAGTGAAAATTTTAGAATGGTTTTATAGTTATATCACGGAGTGTATGCCTGGAGCAAAATTGTGAGAAAAGATCCATGGGATATACCGAATTTAAATTATACGTTTCAGCTGTATTAACCAGCAACGAATTTACATATTAACGCGTTTAATATCACTGAACGCAATAACAGTAATAATTTGTGGATTAACTATATCATATTAATGTACGATGTTCCCGTAAAGTTTAATGTATGTTTTCCGATTTCTACGGCCAAATACTATTTTATACACGAAGGAATTAAAGAAATTTAATAATTAGTTTGAAACGTTTATACGAGAAGAGAAATAGTAGAATAAAGTTACGTAGGCTCTCACCTGTTCGACCCACAGGTTCGTCGTCATGATTTGATTCTTCAGGTTCTGTAAAAGAGAGGAAAACAACAATTTACGGTCGTACCCCTAGTTTTACCTGATTCGTTAACTCGTTGATTGGCATGGTAATGACGATGACTGACGCCATTAACTCTTTCGACAAAATTTGCATTTGCTATTTAAAATAAAATTTAAAGAGAACAAAAACCATATTCGTAATTTCAACACATTTTAGAATATTTTAGGAACCAACAAAAAAGAAAACACCTGACGAAAATAAAATCACTTGAAAGAAAGAAATATGCAGCAGCATATGCACGAGGACTATTTGATAAGCCAGTGACTATTTTTTGATAATATTTACCGCTCAAGTCGCAAGAGTAATTTTAACATTTTATTAGAATTTATTTCAATTTTACAGCAAATGCATTCACTCTGCTTTCGTCGAGTATACTTGTCATAGCTTAAAAATAATTAAGCGCACAAATGCATATTTTCAGAATCAAATAAAACAATTAACGTGTTAAATTACACGAAGAAACATTGAATCTCTAAACAGGAACATTAAATATTTTATAAGTAGAAATTATACTATCAGAGTAATAACGAAAGTGACGAGTATTGAAGTCAATGCTTAAGTATTTGTATTGTTAAGAACAAATACCTAGAAAAACGTATTTTATCACGATACTGTTAAAAAACAACCGTGCCATTCAACGTGTTAATCGTGGCTATGTTTCGATACTCACTACATCGATCAACTGGGAGAGTTTGAGCTTGATTTTAACGGTGAGGGCGTCTGTGACGTTGACCACTGGACGAACCAGCTTGTTGTAATTCGACAGGAGGTCGTCGTACAGTCGCTTCGCGTCTGGATTTCCTGAGCATCCTGCAACAGGGGAAGAATACACGAAAACAGATTAGAAAGAGTGCCCGTAACGGCGATCGATCCATTCATTTTCTACCAAAATTTAATATTCGTTACCGAGAAAATGGAAAAACATATGCCGTCTTTATTACTATTACACGATATTCATCATGGATTCAGATATCATAGAATCATAATATAGTAAACAGCATTTTGATTTGTCTATACAGATCACACAGAATCGTAACTAGACTGCACAGAATCTTTAAAAATTTCTTCACAGAAACTAGAAATAAACAAACATTTTTTTATCGCGTCGAAGTGTCTATGTAAAGAAATTTTTATACTTATATTTACATGTTGTGTTTACACTTTATGTAGGGTTAGCCCCATACAAAATGAATACCGAACTGAAATTTACTGAATTTCTTAGTACACTGAATATCAGACAATTAGGTAGGCTATAAATGAAAAAAATTCGCAGCCCGAAAATAATGTTACATACATAATATGACGATCAAGTGCAATATTTCACTATTGTGATAGATATTCCCTAGCCTGTTTTTGGTCATTATTAATACGAACTTTTTACCTGATCGTAATTTAAATATTGTGATTAACTGACCAGGAACAATTTCTTCTAGTCGTTTGGCAATCACGTCTACGCATTGTCTGGCTATGATTGCCTTATTCCACTTTTCTGACCATAAACCAACTTAATCACGCGGTTCTGGTCAAGATCGCTTGTTCTACTCGTCTAACCTGAACTGCTTTATTTCACTAGTCTAACCACAGATATCTTGTTCTGCTTATATCTCTAGAATTGCCTTACAATTAGACCACTTGTCTGACTGCGATCGTCTGGTTCCACTCTCCTGGCCACTACCGCGTTATACACTTGTCTGACCACGACGGCCTTATTCTACTTGTTTGACCACGTACAATATGTACTTTTCCTAACTTCCGATTCATTAGCGATCTATTCTATCTGTCTGCAGAGGTATCAACTGCGATGAGATCTAATAACTTTCTTTAAATTAGTACTAATGTTATGGAACAATTTAACACGAAGTTTCAATACACAGTCTGTCCCAAAAGTTTCCAAACGGAAATTAAATGAGCAGTTTCCTGTAAAATGATGAGGCTCTTTATCATCAAATATTATAAATAGTTCTTTAAAAGAGATATAAGTTTCACAACAATTATAGACAGCCTGGAAATGACAACAATAATTTTTCTCGAAGACGGTGGAAAGGACGACAGTCGAAAGTTTTGGCTTCACAAAATTTTTGTCTCAAAACATCACTTGAGAAGGAAACTACTTACAACTGCCGTTTAAAACCCTTGAACATCACACAAAAAATTTCTGTCTTACATTCAAATTCGGTATCTTCTCAGAATATTTCAATATTAAAAAAAAAACAATCATAAATTCGTCCACTGAACATTCGATGCACAATAAATATACATACACGGTGCACCGCCGCTCGCAGTAAAACAGTTCTCGACTGCCCTGTTAGAACGGAAGTGGGGGTAGGTGTATATTTTATCGACGAGATTTATTTCACGCGTTAATCGAGCACCAGAAGAACAATTATTGTCGATTAAATTATAGAGACGGATCAAAAGGGTATAGGAATGGGGAGAGGAGATCGAGGAGGGGGGAGGCTCTCCTCAACGTTTCCATTAATTTCGTAATAGATATCGCTGGCACGGCACCCGAGGCGGGTTATTATTTATCGTTTCCGAACATTATATTATCGGTGTTTTACGAGCTTCCTGGAGCGGTACCAGGATGGTTCATAATACGGTTCAACGTATACGAAGAAGAAAGGGGGGGACATGGGGAACAACGCTGGCGACGATTTCAATTTTGAAGCGGTGCCAGCCGGATCTTTACGACACACCTTACCACTCCCGACCCCGTGTACACGACGTACACCGACAGTTTTTCTGCGAACAATGTTTCTTCGTCTCGTCCGTGTTACGAGGAACGGTGGGAGGCATCGATCACGGTCGCGACACGAACTATTTATCGGTGGTTCAGAAGCACTCCTCGCGGACAGAGAATTTTTTCGCCGATGTCGCCGCCAGAATATTTTCGTATGTTCGGGTAAACAAAAACGGTGACTGGGGCATTCGATTTTGGACACTCTGCAAAATCTTGCATTGTACTTTGCGGTTACGATATATACATTCGATCCAGAAGTTTATTGGATTGCCCGGAAATTATCAGGTTCTTGAGTAATTAAACCCTTAACCCTCTAAGTGGTTTATTTCATTTTGAAAACGTACATTTGCATGCTTAAGTATTTTTAAGCTATGACGAGTATACTCGACAAAAACAGAGTAAATGCATTTCACCAAAAAACAAAGTCACTGCCTTATCAAACAGTCTTAATACATACACTGCTGCATATTCCTTTTTTTATGTGATTTTTTCTTGTTTGTATGTTCTCTTTTTTTTTTGCTCCAAACTGTTCTAAAATGTGTTAAAATTACGAATATGTTTTTTGTTTTACTTAAAGTTTACTTTAAATAGCAAATGCACATTTTTTTATGACTAGCACACTCGACGTTCAATCGAATCGGTCGAAAGAATTCAAGAATGAAAGCATTCAAGAATGAAAGAATGAAAGAATTCAAGAATGAAAGAAAAAGACGAAATGATCGATTACAAAATGGTTGGACAGTACACATTACGTATCAAGAGATGATGCTATGCCTGGAATGAAATCGCATGGCCAGACAGGTACAGTCACGTGACACGGTGGATCAGAGACGTAACGATAACTGGGTAGACGAGCGGAAGGCCATCGATTCGATCGCAATCTTACGTGAGTAATCGGTTAACTGGCCGGAAATTACGTGCGCCCCCGAAGCCGTGCCAGCTCGGTTTTCGAGGAAGCGGATACAACGAATCGCGAGGGCCCTCCCCCCTTCACCATCGAATCTTCAAGACCGATCAGGATGCCACGCGACGTTTCAATCGTTCCTGAACACCAGAACACGGTATGTTTCATTCAAAGAAATCACTCACATTGAATTCACTTGGAGGTTATTAACACTAGAACTACCGACAATGAAGTATGTTTCTTAACCTCTTCAGGAACAAGTTATTAAGAAAAAATTTAACAGTTTCAAATCTTGATAGCATAAAATAAGCTTAATAGAGTTTAACAATATCTTTAAATAGGGTAAAATCTAAAAGATTAATTATATCGAGTAAAAAAAAAAAGCGACGGGAGATCTTGGAAAATTGCACTGTTAGAATATTTGAATTAATCTCGACAATGTTGATAGTTCATATGGAAACAGAACAATATGATTAGAATGGCCCTAGGTTTTTGTTGTTTGACAAATAACTTAAGACGACAATATGTGCCGAGGTTTAAGTAAATCCATGGTTATTTAGTACGCAGTATTTTTTTATAAGAGTCAGTCTACTGGTAGAAACCTAAATATATCAGACAGTTTGTATCGTGTCATAAATGAAAAGTAAGGAGAGTGGACTGTAATATGTCAGACGCGTAGCACTTGATCCCATGGGCCAGCCAAGTGGAGGAGACTCGGATACATCAGGCAAGTAGTATAACCTTATAACATTGCAACCAGCATAAGTAGATTAAGTCGGCGAAAGCCGTGTATGGTCAGATAACGAAGGAAACAAATTGAAAACATACGTAAAGGCCTACACTAAAATAGTAAATTAATCAATAATATTTATAAACATTGTATATACAAAACATTATTTCGTGTAGAAAGCAACCGAATAACTATTACTGTAAAAGCACCACACACCTCCAACGTTGAAAATTCGCAATATTTTAAAAATTTATTTTCTCAAAAGCTGGACGTGCTAGGAAAATTGTGTTTTACATATTCATACATAGTTCATAAAATTCTATCAGAGACGTATATTAACAGTTACGAGGTAGAGAAAAAGTTATAATTTGTTGCATAGTGCAATAGTATCATAATAAAACACAACAACTGAGTGTATTCCCTAAGAATAACGTAACAGTCAATACAGAACTTTCACGTAAGATTCCGAATTGATAATGCTACACCAACGTCGCCAGGCGATTTTCCCTCCCTTTTCACAGGCGATCGCAACGAGAAAAGGAACGAGCGCGACTACCTTTTTTTTTCCTCTTTTTCTCCGGCTATCGATTCGATACGCCCCCCCCCCTACCCGGGGTATATCGGGACAAAGAAGGGAAAGGCTGGAACAAAGGTGCATTTGTTATCGACAACGGGACAACGGCGAATAAAAATTCATTTCGAGACCAAGTGGATTTTGACGGTCGCAGAGATGGGGGAGGGGGCGTTAATGGAATCAGACGAGCACAACTTTTTCTCCCGAGCGATTACCGTGGTAGGAAGAGAGGAGAAAGGAAAAACCGTACGAACAGTCCAGCGGTAGTGCCCGAGCGGCTGGGATTGGTTGACTGGAAAAGAGGGTTTGGGGGTTCGTGGAAACCGATTACATCTCTCTGTATCTGAAAATTCATGCTCTTCCGCGAAGATATATTCTTCTTCCTTTTTTTGTCAACTCTTCTTAGCGGAATTGTATTTTCCCAAGTATTAACACACCGTCGAGTGTTACCGACTGTAACACTGGAAAACTTTCGTTCCTCTTGTAACCCCCTTTTTTTGTTGCCAGTAACTGAGCGTTTGGGGATTTAGTACGGTGTTGGAAACGGATACTTTACAATGTACTGGGTGATTCATAAATGTTGATCGAAAGTAAACGCGTCGTGATTTATAATCTAAAATGGACATAAATTATTCTTCTTTGGTAACCCAGCGATTGGGGATTTTATACGCTGCAGATAACGGTACTTTACGATGTACAGGGTGATTCATAAATATTGACCGGAAGTAGAACCGTCGTGATTTATATTCTAATATCGACACAAATTTTCCTTCTTTGGTAACCAACCGATTGGAGATTTAATACGCCGTAGATAAGGGTACTTTACGATGCACGGGGTGATTTAAAAATATTGCCCGAAAAT